ATGCTTCAATTTTTGCTCATATTCGTTTGGTTTTGGTTGGTCTATAGCGGCTACCGTTGTGCTCAGCAGCTGTCTGGTCACCTTCGCCAGCTCACTAATATCCATCGGCTGCGTTGCGTTAACCAGTTTTAATCGCTGAGAAATGTGGTCGGGGACACTCTCGATGAATTGGGAAGACAGTAACTGCGCTTCTGATTCTTCATCTAAAGTGGGAAGCGCGCGTCGAAGTAGATTAGTCAGTTTCACCGCCAACACTAGCGGGTCTCCATCAGGTCCAAGCTTCATTGACCGGAACTGCTGCATTGCTAGCTGTCTGTCTGTTTCGCTGTCAAACTCGGACACTAGTCGTTCAACCAATTTCTTCCAAGACGCTGTGCCATTTGACCTGTCTACGCTGTCATATGCAGCCTTCGCTCGGCCTCTCAACAGCGTCCCCAGGACAACTGCCTTCGCCGCCTGCTCCTTGACACCCACCAGCTCAGCAACGGCTTCGAAGTCACGTAAGAAGCTCCGTATGTCACCTTCTTCAAACGCAGCTGGCCACGGGATCTTCATCTTCTTGGAGGCAGCGACACCAAATGTAACAACAGAAGACAAGGGCTGGCAACAGATCGTTTTATTACGAAAATCAACACGTATTTATATATATTTTATATGCATTAATAAGGCTTATGCAAGCAGAAAAAGGCAGTCTTCTGATTGGTTGTTTCTCGGAAGTTAAGCAGACAAACACAGTCTTATGATTGGTTGTGTTCGATATTTCTCGGAAAGTAGAGCCATCTATCTGCGAATCATATTTGTCCACATTTAGGTTTGCTGTGATTGGTTGTTGAAACAGCCTTGTTCACGGTCAATATTAGTGACCTAGACATTAACGTAGATTAGTGCCAACCAATCGGCTAGCAGCCTGCTCTCACCACACTAGTACTGTTTCTGGAATAAAGCAAATTATTAATAATACTATCTTCTTGTGGTTGAAAAGCATAATGGTAAGGCATACAATTCGTTGTTAGCCCTGTTAATATGTATACACATATTTATAGAATAGCCTATAGTTACGAACGCATATTCCAAATCCAATAGAGGTGTAGCATCAACAACACAGTAAGGTAAAGGTTAATTAATTTAACTGACCAGTGGTCAAAAAATAGTTAAGCTAAGAATAAGGAGGAGAAAGAACAAGCAAAGAGTAGGGAATCACATTGTTAAAAAAATTAGAAATAACAATGATGAAATTAGAAAAATTTAAAGTAAGGCAAAATTAACAACGGTTGTTTCACTGGATGCATAAATTCCCATTTAACCGTAAGATGGCGATCGCTACAGTGATATAATAACAACCTTAGACTTTCCTGTACTTATCAAGTATTGCTTTGTAGGGATTTGATTGAATGGTTACAGGATTTCATCATAAACTGACATCGGTTAGAGAACCATTGGAAAACCTTAGAGTACTGGATAGCTTTTTGTACTAGTTTAGGACTCTTCATTGGTACGCACCCACCTGGTCTCGAACTCAAGACCTCCTAGTTACAAGGTGAACTCGTAGACCATTAAACCACTGCGACCCATTCAATGCATGGATTTTATGACCACTGTCTAACAAGTGGAGAGTAGTCGCACTACTAAGGATTTTTGCACCCTTTAGATATACGTTTTTTGGAATGTCTTCGGATATGTGGTCACATATGCTTGTTTCTGTTCGTTCAATGTATGCATCTCAGCACATACATGTAAAGTTGTTTATGAAGTTGGAGGTAAAACGAAAGAGGGATTTGTAAACCTATGATTATCTCAGTAAGAATTTTATTCGGTAAATTAAGACTGACCTGGTATCTGGATAAGTTCACCTAAAGGAGGCATATATTTTAAATTTATTTCTTACACATACTTCATCACCTTTGAATTCACGATTAAGGGGAATAGGTTCCTTCTCAGCTACATAAAATGTGTTTTTTTTTAATATTTGTTATTCCTTTGTGTTCATCAATGAATTTTTGAGGATATTCATTATTCTGTAAACACTTCTCAATAATAACTAATTCATCACTAAGTTTCTCTTTTCGAACAAAGTTTTTAATTGAGGCAGAACAATGTCCTCGTCCGATATTTTTCCGGCTTATTGAAAAAAACTATGGAAATTCTGATATAGTCCATTCTAGAATTGTTCGCCATCAACATACCTTTCCACATCTCCATTTGAAGTCTATGGAATTTACAAAACAGGGATGATGAGTTGCCTGTAACGAATTCACAGAAAATGTTGATATTATTGAGGTCAAACCAAATCAAAGTAAGAAAAATAGGGAAGATATACAAAGGAGATGGATATAACTATGAGTAAAACGACGATTAAGACACAATCACAATGCGCAGCCAGACGATATATTAAATAAATCAACCTATTACTTGCAGATGTAATTATTATTATTGTTCCCTTAGGTTCCTAGTGGAACATAGGGCTTCAACTGCACGTCTCCACTTGTTTCTGTCTTCTGCTGTACTTTTCACCTGCATCCATGTTAGTCCATATTGTTTTAACTCCTCCCTCTTCCCTAGATCTCCTCCATGTCACCCTCGCACTGACGACCCACTCGCCGCTTCCCTTTCGGCCTGGTTCCACTCGAGCAATGGCCTGACACGCGCGCGATATCACCCAGTGGCGGCCTCCTCAACGAGTGTCCAATCCATCTCCACTTTCTCCTGCATATTTGTTGGTTGGCGGTTAGATCTTGTTTTGTTTGTTCCCATAGTTTCTTGTTGGTGATTCTTTCGGGCAAACGATCTTCAGTATAGAGTGAAGACAGTTGTTGATAAAGGTCTGCAACAGGCTGTTGGAAATATTCTTTGTGACCCGCCCGTCAAGTTTCTGGTCCGTATACAAGAATTGACTGACTTGACGCTGTTTGTATTGAAAATCCGACCGAATTTCGTTGTTGATCCTGGCTGAGTGATGAAGATTTCTAGATTGGTTTCAGGTTGATGATATTGATGTGTTTCTCGCCTTCCCGATTCTCGCTCGATTTGACATCCCCGTCTGTTCCGACTGTGTGTAGTTGAGACAATGCTCCCTAGATAAGTGAATGAAGTAACCTCTTTCAAATCCCTCCCATTGGTGGTGATTGGAGCTGGATGTTGCAGTTGTTGTTGTTGGTTGGTTATTTTCATAACCTCCGTCATGTCAATGTTCACTTGGAGTCCTGTTTTGGCTGGCTGCTTCTTCGACCAGTTTTTCGGTCGGTTTTCGCTTGTAAGTCTTCGATTTTGTGTGACATAAAACATAAATCATTCAAGCGCGAAATCCATGTCTTCTAGGTTCTTCACATCGGTCGGTCCAGGATATTCCTGTCTTCTCGTTTCCCACTGTCTGACGCATTATCCAGTCCACCACTATTAGGAATATCATCGTAGGTGATAATAAGCACACTTGTCTAACTCCTGTGTTTACTCCAAACGCCTCGCTGAGTTTTCCGTTGTGGATAACTTGACGTGTGGCGTTGTCGTACAGCTGTTGAATAAGGTTGATGAACATTTGGGATACACCGTAGTACTCGAATAGTTTCCAAATTACTTCACGGTCAACGCTGTCAAAGGCCTTTTCAAAGTCTATAAAGTTGAGGTAGAGGTTTGATTGCCATTCCATGCTTTGTTCGATGATGATGCGTAGAGTTGCAATTTGGTCAGTACATGATTTGGCTTTCCTGAATTCAGCTTGTTCTGGTCTGAGTTCAGTATACAGTGCGTCCTTTAATCTCTCCAGGATGATGCGACTCAGGATTTTACTTGGCGTCGACAAGAGCATGATTCCTCGCCAGTTCTTGCAGTCCTAAGTCGCTCTCCATTGGTAGTTTCACAAGGTAACCTTTCCTCCAGTCAGTAGGCAGCTTTCCTTCCTTCCGGACCTTTTGCAATAATAGAGTCAGCATATCTGCTGTCGTCTCTGGGTCCGCTTTCAGTGCTTCAGGTGACAAATCGCAGTTGTGTACGTGCTGCTGCTGGTATTTCTGGACGGGTTGCAGGTGGTGGTCGGTTCAAGAGTCCTTTGAAGTGATCCGCCCATTCCTTAATTTGTATTTCTTCCTTGGTAATTGGGTTCCCTTGGCTGTCTTTTATAGGTTTCACTTGTGTTGATCTCTTCCCGGATAGAGACTTGGTTATCTGATATATGTCCTTAGGTCCCTTTTGCCTGCTACCTCCCCAGCTTCAGTAGCCAGGTTGTAGTAGAATTTTTTTCTATCCTTCACAGCACTCTTCTTCACTTTTTCGTCCAATGTTGTGTAAGTTGAACTCAGCGTCTCCTTCTCTTGTCCGTCTTTGCATTGAATTATTTTCACTTTCACCATTCTCCTCTCTTCTATTAGTTTCCAAGTGTCCGTTGAGAGCCATTCCTTGTCTTGTCTCTTCCTAGAACCGTTGAACACGTTTCGTTGAAAATCATCTTCAGAGAGTTCCAGTGGTCTTCCAAGCATGATTCTTCAGTGATGTCACGTAGTGTTTCCTGCTTTGCTCTGACAGTTGCAGTGAATGTGTCTTTTGTGGTTGTGTCCTTCAGTTTCTGAGTGTTGAACTGGCATTGTGACCTATCCCCAGCTATCCTCGAGGCTTTTAGCTTCACCTTGAAAGTCCCTTGTACTAGATAGTGGTCTGAACCCACATCTGCTCCTCTCCTCGACCTTGTGTCCAGTAGGCTCCGTCTCCACTTCCACTGATTTTAGACATTTGACCTTCAGCCGATCAGAATTCCCCTTCATCTACTATAACCTGTGCAATTGACGCCTAAACAATAACCGTAGCTCATAACCTGATGCATGAAATTCCCTACTAGATGGATATGTCCTGAATAAATAACTCACTATTTTAATTAAGACTTCTGTGGAAGTCGTCGAAGCGGTTCAACCTTGGGAATATCTAATGCGTTCTAATAAAATCTCACAAAAGTATGAACTAGAATAAACGATCTGAAGATGAACAAAATTAGTAATTCTTATCACTATGCGATGAACTGGAGACAATTTTTAAACAGATCTATAAGAAGCTTTCTAAATGTCGCGTTTAATACTACCAAAACAAAAGCTTAGAAAAACGAAGAAAAATCAAACTATCTGTAATACACGCATTATGAACTGTGATCAAAATTTGACAGAATAACTCCAAAATAATATACAAAGTAAAAAAAAACAACATTTTAGAATAGGTTACAAATTTACATTAGGCAAGTATTTAACATAATTTCGGGTGATTTTTGTTGCAGTTTTATATAACTCTAAGTTGACACCATCCATAAAAGTGAATGAAAATGCCGTAAGTCTATAATGCTTTCCATTTGTTGGTGATATATTCAATTCTCCAATGAATTGAATTAAACGTTCATAGGCTAATGTATTTGAAAAGCACTGTTTCTGATTATCCAATAAGAATTTCACATCTACAATAACACAAGGTAAACAATCCCCAACGAATGGAGACAGAAGTTCAACCAAGTTATTGTCAGCTTCAAAGGCAGAAAATCTGAAATGAGAAGATAAAATGCATTTTGCCTTAAATAACAAAATCTACCATGTATGAGTCACATGCATTGTATGAGGACTGATGCAACTAGTCAATTACCCAAGCTGAGTTAGATGGAGTGGGACTGAAACTCGGAGTTAGGTGGCTGGAAACCAAGTGCTTAAGCGCCAATATACCAAACCTCCACAGTTGGATATAACATAATGATTGACCAACTGACTGATTAAGTTTTCAATGAGAAACTTTGCGCAAAAGTAGAGCACACTCGAAATAGCACGTGTCAGTATTTGCATAAAAAGCGACCAAATTGTGTTCTCTCACATACAGTGTGATAGTCAACCTTTCAATTAAGTGACATGCAGAAATTAAAGCAATTACATCTTTTTCCCCCTATAAATTCCAAGCTGAAGTAGAATTAACTAAAAAAATTCTATATTGGAATTAAAATCGGCGTGGATGGGATGTATTTGTAAATCGGAAGTCTTCTATGTGATGATGAGACAAGGTGATAACTTCATCTTTACCAGTAGACAAGGGATTCAACGAATTCACGCTAGCTTATCTGAACGTGCCATATATATATATATATATATATATATATATATATATATATATATATATATATATATATATATGCTGATGACCGAGCTACATAATCGCTCCGATACAATCATCCATTCATAAACAATGTATTCTCGTCTTTTAGCAAGTGTTTCACTCTATTCTTTAGTGCTTAAAAAAACACAGGCACTAAATATCACTCAGATTCTTCCTATTTTCTGTAATCCAACAAACAGCGAAAGGCCACTTATTATTGCAAAGTAGTTTCTTTGACTAAATTAAAGAGAAAGCAGGGGCATTTCAGCCTTTGGGGTGGGATTGTTTCTCAATGCAAACACTAATATCAAGCACACATACACACACACAATATTAGCATTATTTTCAAAGCCCCCGTTCATTTATTCCATAAGCACCCGTTTAATATATATATATATATATATATATATATATATATATATATATATATATATATATGAAAAGGGACTGTGAGTTAAGAGTCCTTCGATCCATAACTACATATTCAATAAAAGACATAAAAAAATCATACTTTTGTTCAGTTAAATTTTAGTTCATTATACATTGATTGACTATAAAATCAAATTTTTACAATGGGAATATTTAGTTATTCAATAATGAATATACCGCTAAACAAAAGAAAAAACTACTTCATCATATTACTGGTACTACTGTGGGGAGAGCTGTCTGCTAGCCAAAATTGGTAGACAGCAGTTTACGTCAATGTTTACGTCTCATATCTTAGTCATCAGAAAACAACGAGAACTAACACTAACTCAACAACCAACCACAGAAGATTTGGCGTGGGCGGATAAGATTCGCAGATATATGGTCTAACCTTCAAAGAAACAGCCACAAAGAGATGACAGAATAACTTCGAGTGAGAAAACAACCAATCAGAAGATGCTGTTTCTCTGCTAAAATAACGAATAGTGATGTACATAAAAATCTATAAATATCTGTGGATTTTCTCAGTAAACAATCTGTTTCCTGATCCTTGTCTTCTATCGTTACACTACTGTTCCTTTACATAACAGTTGTATCATAGGCTATTTGTCAAATGGACTAATATAACAAATAATAATAATAATAATAGTAAATAGTTGGTTGCTGACAAACTTTACTTACCATGCGAACGAACCATAAGCATTACAAAACAAACATAAATCAAAATCATCACTAGTATACTGAATGGTCAACACACAGAACCCATCTTCAAAGGATAACATAAAAATTTAAATTAACAATGTAGCTAAAAACAGGAGGATGTGACTACAGTAATAGAGGGAAGTCTTTCGGATATTACCTAACGCACATAACACCATATCACACCAACTTTCGCTGTAGCAGATGAACATCGTGCTCTATGCAGCCTTCGTCATTTCCTAACATAATAAGAGTTGATGAGATAAATTTTTACATAATAGGATGTTTATCTCTATAACGGGGAAATGATGTAAAACAAAATGAAACTTCAGTTGATATAATTCCCACTTCTGCGCTTTCAATGATTTGCTGATTGGAGGTAGCGGGCAAAACCACAAGGATGCACACAAGGCAGAATAGATTTATCCACTTTTTTATTTTGATTACAGCTTGATGCCACACCGTATTTTCGGTACAAGTATGGAATTTTTAGCATGTGATATCGGTAGCCCAAATTTTGCAGGCCGACCATAGATATCAGGTGTGCGCCGGCATGGGCTCGAACCCCGGACCATGTGCATGGTCGGCGAGAGTCCTAACCACTGTGCCACCGACGCACATAGGATTGGATGATCAAAGAGCGCTGAAGCTAGTGGCCAGCCAAACTACTCCTCGCAGCAGTCTGCTCGGCATTCCAGGCGTTTTTCCAGACCGGTAATTGGCCTGCCATGTGCTTTACGGGCCGTCTCGCCGACGCCTTACTGCCGGTGACTCCGATGAGCTGGAAAAGCTTCTGACTGTTGCCAGATACAGCAGCTGACTCCATCTCACACGTACGTTCTTACCACCAAGCTTCGCGGTCCTTACGTAAACATTGTTTAATCTTACGCGTAGGCGCCGGCCAGCCGGGAAGAACCAGTAGCAACACGGGACGGAAATCCTCCGGAAGTACTCAGCGAAGCCTTTGAAGTCAAAACAGAAGTAAAACAAGACTGCCTACTATCACTGATGATATTCATAGTTGTGATGGACTGGACTATGTTTTAGACTGTGGGTAGCGAGAAGACAGGAATACGTTGGACCGATAGGAAGACTCTAGAAGATCTGGAGTTTGCGGATGTTTTATTTCCAATATCACACAAACGCAGACTTACAGGCGAAAACCAACAAGTTAACAGAAGGAGCAGCGAAAACAAGACTTCCTGTGAGTATACAGATGACAGAGGTGATAAAAGTAACAAACTAACAACAACAAGCACCAATCACCCGCAAAGGAAGAAATTTAGAAAGGGTTACTTCCTTCGCTTATCTAGGAAGGATCGTTTCAACGACAGTTGGAACGGATGTAGATGTCAAAACCAGAATCGGAAAGGCAAGATACTCCTTTAACATTCTAAAACCAGTTTGAAAATCAGCATGAAGAATAAGATTGCGATTTTCAACACCAGTGTTGTCAGTCACTTCTATGTAGGATCAGAACTTGCATTGCGCGTCACGAAAAGATTTCCAATAGGCTACTGCAGACTTTTATCGACAACTGCTTTCGCTTCATTGTTGAAGGTCAAATCGCCAGAAAAAATTAACGAAAATAATGAACCAACCAAGAACCCAAGAAAATGAAGAGGGATGGGACTCACAATATGGTGACTGTTGGGCGGCATCACTCGAGAGAAATTCCAACGGGAAACGACAATGAGGCCTTCCAGCGTGACATTAGGGAGATCATCCGATCAGATGAGAAACTGTGAGCAATAGTTGGGCAAGCTAAAGATGATCGCAGAGAATAGGACGAAGTGGAAATTTGCTATTCACGCCCCATGTTCTACTCAGAACCCAAGGGAACAATAACAATTAGTTTCAGGATTTCATCATGAGCTGACATTAGTTAGAGAACCATTGGAAAACCTGGGAGTACTGGACAGCTGTTTCGTCCTAGTTTGGGACTCTTCAGCAGTACGCACCCACCGGGATTCGAAACCAGGACCTTCCGGTTACAAGGCGAGCCAGTGTACCATTAAGCCACTGGGACCCGATCCAATGGTCCTTGAATTCTAACTTCTGCTAATTCACGACATAGCGCGACCGCTAGCCAATGTCTTCGGCGAGTATTTGTCCTCACACCCGACCGGCTGCACCCTACTGGTCATGACTTCCAACAATTAGTAATGTCCTGAACAAAAATTCGCATAACTTCCGTTTGGCACCTACACAAACAAACTAGGATATGTAATAATATACCAGTGGAAAGCACTTTCTAGTCAACGTGATGTATCTTACTTCACATAACCAACAGTAAAATAAAATGTAGAGAACAAAGGGGATGTCAATATTTAGCAGGAGGTTAAACAGTGAAATTTAATCAAAACTGAAGTATTGGATGCAGAACAATATTCTGAAATTTAGAGGTGAATAAAATCACTGTCGTTACAACCATAGTTAAATGTCAAGTAGCGAAACAGTCAATTTCATATACAGAATAATACATAAAGTGTATGGATGTTGGAAAGGGGTACATAATTATAGGATTAGTAGGCAAATATAAAACGTTACGTAACATAGCATCTAGTTTGATAAGATGTGATTCAAGATTGTAAAACTTTTTTCTGGACTTAGAATGAGAAGTGGAAACGATTCAAAGTGAGAATGATAATAATAATCGTGGTAGTCAGGGAAAGGTACATAGATTAACAAATAAACATAATAAATAAATATCCGTCCCTCTACGGCCAAAGCAGAAGTAGAGGTCCCATATACTTCTTTTGTACACAAACGTTTGGCTTAAATTCATGAATGGCCAAAGCCTCGACTGTCTTAAGAAGTCTATAACGAAGAAAACGCGGACAGTTAACATGGATTCGGTAGATGACCTTAAAATTATGGTCAGGGTTGGTAGAGTGATAGGAATCGATCAGGTGTTCTAGAATATGGCTTCTCACACGCTTTCTTTCGCCTTTGTAAAACCATGCTGGAATATGTTCTCGTACCCGTGTGGAAAGCGTCCTCTGGCTACGGCCAATGTACCTTGCTCCACAAGAGCAGGTGAACTGACAGATGCACATGGAGGAGGCCGGACGGGGGAGCTTATCTTTTACAGAGGTAGAGAACAATTTGCGGCTCGTGAACATCATGTGTGATTTTGCTACGAAGAACGTTTTACTGACTTGACTGATTTAGAGAGACAATTTTTGAGCATATCTGAAGCCTGATCACCTTTGAATTCCAAGTTCATGAATAAGGTTTCCTTTGGAACTGAGTCGGTGACCAGTTTAGACTGCTTATCTTTCATGTTACTGTCAATAAATCAGTTTGGGTAACCGCTTTCTGCGAGAGTGGCTTTTTGGAAGGTCTGTCTGGATTCAACATAGAACTTGGCACCGAAGTGCAGCAGTTTGAGTTGCCACCTTCCAAATAGCACACACACAAAGGTAGACAAGAAGATGAGTGAAGAGAATCAATAGAGTAATTTCTGAGTCAACACAATCAGAACTGCAAATATTCCTTATCCTAAAGTAGAGTGGAAACCTTGACTTTGACGCGCTTTTCGATGACTACGTTACATTATTTCTGTGAAGTTTCTTGCCAAAAAACTGCGGAATATATTGTAATTATTTGCCTTTCGAACACTGAATCTGTGGATATAATCTTGTTGACAGGTAATACCTATAACTATCTGTTTGGTATGTGACTGTTTATCACTATCTAATATCTACAACGGTGTATATTGTTGGATTTACATGTTCAAGTTGGCTCACGTCAGTGAGTCTATGATTTTGGTATCATTTTGGTTAACTATGCTTAACTGTGGCATTATTGTTGTTGTTGTCGCTTGTTGCCCTTTTGCTGTGAATTATTTTCCTTTCGATGGTGTTGTTCTGATTGTTTTATTCCATGTTTTCCGGTTTTAAGGGGAGCAATCCACAAGGTCGCTTCTCTCTAAACTATATCTTAATGTAACAATCCCTTTCTCAGGCGTGGGGCTAGCAACCCTACCCTGTAAACAAAGTTGCCACAGAAACTTCAGTCCGATGAAGCCCCTTGCACCAAAAGAAAAAGTCTGTGCGGGGACATGGAACGTCCGCACAATGTACGAGATTGGCAAAGCTGATCAGATCGCAAACGGACAGGACAAACAGTGGCTCACTGAAGACACTTGGAAACTAATAGAAGAGAGAAGGATGGTGAAACAAAAGATTATCCAGTGCACCGACGAGCAACAAAAACAGGAGTTGAATGTAAGCTACAATAAGCTGAACAAAAAAGTAAAGAAGAGTGCCAGGGAAGACAAAAGAAAATATTATGAAACCATGGCAAGTGAAGCAGAACAAACAAGCTGCAGGCAAAGGAGACCTCGCCACACTCTACCAAACAACTAGGAACCTATCGGACAAAGGTCCGACACAGATTAGGCCAGTAAAGGATGACAATGGAAAGTCAATCACCAAAGAAGTAGAGCAACGAAAACACTGGGCAGAACACTTCAAGACTTCTAAATCGACCGCCACCTACAACGCGCCCAACAATACCAACAACGGAAGCAGAACTTCTAGGGAACATCGACCCCTCCCCCGACGAAATCAGAAGTCCTGAATGCACTCACGATGTTAAAAGCTGGAAAAGCAGCAGGACCAGATGGAATCCCAGCAGAAGCATTGAAAATGGACCCAGAGACAACAGCGAGCTTGATGACGCCGTTGCTGGAGAAGGTGTGGAAGGAGGGCAAAGTACCCGAGGATTGGAAGAAAGGATACTTAATCAAACTACCAAAGAAAGGAGACTTAAGTAAATGCAAAAACTGGCGCGGAATTATGCTCCTGTCCATCCCAAGCAAAATACTAAGCCGCATCATCCTGGAGAGAAACAAACAAGCCCTGGATGCAAAACTTCGACCAGGGCAGACTGGATTCAGGAGGAACAAGTCATGTATTGATCAAATCGGCACACTACGGATCATCATTGAACAGAGCTCGGAATGGCAGTCACCTCTCTATCTCAACTTCATCGACTTTGAAAAGGCCTTCGACAGCGTCAATCGAGAGGTCATTTGGTAACTACTTCGCTACTACGGGGTCCCATTGATAATTATACATCTCATCCAACAGTCATACGACAATGCTGCATGCCAGGTAATACACAACGGAAAACTTACGGAAGCCTTCGAAGTGAGGACGGGAGTGAGGCAAGGCTGTCTACTATCGCCAGTGATTTTTCTGATTGCAGTAGATTGGATAATGCGACAGACAACGGGCAATGAGGAAACAGGCATGAAATGGACTCACACAAAGACAAACTTGGAGGATGTGGACTTTGCCGATGATATATGTCTGATTTCCCACAAATTGGAAGATATGCAAGTGAAAAGCAACAAGTTAGCAGAAGAAGCATCCAGAGAAGATAGGACTTCAGGTGAACATAGAGAGGTGATGAAGATTCCTGCCCAACAGCAACAACAGCAGACAACAATCAGCATGAATGGGAGGAACCTGAAAGAAACAAACTCATTTACCTACCTGGGAAACATCGTTTCAACTACGAGCGGGCGGAACTGACGAGGATATCAAAGCAAGGATCGGGAAAGCAAGACAAGTTTTCATTACTCTCAAGTCTGTGTGGAGGTCAACAGCACTCACCATCAAAAATTAGATCCGGATTTTCAACTCCAATGTGAAGTCAGTGCTAGTTGCTACACGGATCAGAGACTTGGCCAGCGCGTCATAAAGAGCATCTCAAACAAACTAAAGGCCTTCATTAACAGTTGTCTTAGCTCAATACTGAAGATCAGATGGCCGGCGAGAAAAGATCAGTAACTGGGATCTCTGGCAATGAGCGAACCAACCAGGAACCGATTGTAAAACAAATATGCAGGAAGAAATGGAGATGGATTGGCCATACTCTGAGGAAATCATTAATTGACATCACTAGACAAGCACTCGGGCGAAACTCGAAAGGGAAGCGGCGTGTCGGTCGTTAGTGCAAGGGTGACTTGGAGGAGGTTATGTGAAGAGGAGAGGAAAGCGTGTGGGCAGACCTGGAGCGGGGTGAAAACGTTAGCAGAAAACCGAACGCAATGGAGACGTGGGGCTGAAGCCCTATGTTCCTCTAGGAATTAAAGAATATAATAATAATAATAATAAAGCAGAGTGAATGAATTAGTTTCCTTTTCCTGGAGATAGACACCCAAATATAAAAGTTAATCAGCTGTCCCGTTCCACGCACATATCCGGTTGGTGGATTTTTTGACAGACCGTTCATTGGGTCTAAAAAGGCATACATCAAGAAAGAGAATACTTAGTTCAGATTTTTTTTCTATGGTGAATTGAAAAATGGGATGGCAGTGGAAGGAGGAACTGCGCATCCTGAACTGCATTTGAAAATAACAACAAACAAATGTCCTTCTGTGAAATTTAGTTTACCGTCATTACTTATGTAGTTTTTTATTCAGATTTTGTGCAGTTGACAAAAACCCTATTTAATAAAATGAATTTCCCTTGTCTAGTAAAAGATATTCCCATTGCAGTATACAAATTTATCAGGTGAACTAGTTAGCTTAAAATAAGCAAAACAATTGATTCTATATCAGAAAACATAAAAAATTTAATAACTACTGAATATTTTAAACAAATTACCTTCCAAGAAGACGAATATTTAATGCTCCTTTATTCCGAATTATAGAGCGAAAGGTATCATCGTTGGTGTATAACTCGTCAAAAAGAACATATGCTGCTGGGGTCACCTGATGCTGGAATGATCGAAATTTAAAAATCATTAGACTCTCGCAACTTAACACCAAATAAAAACTATACACACAATACTGAGCAATAAAATAATATTCAGTTCATTTTGGTATGCTAAGGAACCTAATTCAGCAGTGAATGGTATTTTGAAATAACCATTACTTCAAATTTGTAGTATTCTTGATGAATACATATAAATGGCGCCGGGATCAGGGTGATCAAGAATGCTCTGACCCCGGGTGGAGGCTCACCGCTGCACCTCGGTGGGTTGAAACTCGCGACGGAACCTGATTGGGTGAGCTCGGGCGTGTAGTTTTTGCCAGTGGGGGGGGGCATCACGGTCCTCCCTTTATTTTTGCATCGGTGGTATAGTGGTTAGAACTCTCGCCGACCATACACATGGTCCGAGGTTCGATCCCCTGCCGACGCACACCTGATATCTATGGCCGGCCTGCAAAATTTGGGATACTGATATCACATGCTGAAAATTCCATACCTGTACCAAAAAAATACGGTGTGCAATCAAGCTGTAAATCAAAAAAAAAATTTTAATTTAAGAAAATTCTTATTATAGATTGATTCTACACAGTATTTTGGTACAACTATGGAATTTTCAGCATGTGATATCGGTAGCCCAAATTTAGCAGGCCGGCCATCGACATGTATATACACAAATAGCAGTAGTTAATCAGTATGTAGTTTTTCTTAAGGTCATAAGGCTGTATTTTAATATGTGCACATGCATGAAAATTGCGGGGAATATAATATGGAAATCTGCGGGCGGAGATTCAGTTTTTGAAGAAAAAAACCCGACTATAATTGGTCTTGAGAACTAACTTCATATACTGGAACTTGATCTCTATTTTAATGAGATGATATAAAAGCAGACAAACTTGAATAACATATTAAAAAGTTGAAGATGGATATACTATAAGAGATGGTAAACGGAAATATGACATTACAGTTGAATGGAATCTAAGGTATGAGTGCATCTGCTCCAAATTAGAGGAATGGATTCTGGGACATATCATTGAAATTTTTTAATCGTAGGCTTCTGTGTTTGCATTGACTTACGACACGTGCAATTTCTTTTTACTTAGTTTATGTTAACAGTCAGTGATTTTATGGATTGAAAACATGACTTTACCTAGCCACCTTTCGCTTTTTTAAACTCAGTCCCAAGTTTGTCGACATAGCATGCTGTCAAAGACATTAGTAACTGTCCCAGCAATCTTGAGCGATGGGTGTCCATACTCAATATGACTGATTTGCTCAACGTCCTTCACTTTGAAAGAAATCTGCCAGCATAGGACAGGCAATGGTCCTTTGAACAACCTTATCAGAAAATTATTATTTTATTGTCGGTATATGGATGACACTATTATTCTTTGTGATAATGATTCGAATAGGAACACAATATTAATTCGATTCAATGCACTACATTCTGCTATGAAATTCACGTGAGAAGAGAAATCCCAAAATAGAATTACCTTCCTAGATGTCCTCCTTACAAGAAAATCAGATGGTGGTATAAAGAGAAAGCCACATGAACAGGACAATATACACATTTTCATAGCTTCGCTCCTCTCCAGGACAAAAGAAATTTAGTACAGACTCTCAGCCGCAGGATTAGAGCTAAATGCCTAATCGCTCACCTTATATAACTCGAACCACAGGAACAGTTGAAATGGTATATGCATGAAGAAGAGCTAAGGTTAGGTAAGATATCTTTGAATTGTTGGGTGAAGATTGGACGGCTACTGAAGGATAGACACAGACGTGCAGAGTGGAACGTTTTCTGAATCGCCCTGGTTAAACGTTGCGATAGAATCTGCGCAGGAGTATCTCCCTTGAATTGGAGACGTAAAAATAGAGGCTTTTTCTCCACCGTTGCCAGTTCATGTTTACGACTATTGTAAGCTATGTTGGCTTTAATGAACTTCTCTGGATATCCCTTCTCGCTTAGAATGTCTCGGATGACCTGGAGTTCTTTCTCTACACAGTCTTCGGGACAAATGGACCTCGCCCTAAATGCTAAGCATCTGATCAGATTACGTTTGTATTTCATCGGTACGAAGCTAAGGAAGTGAGTATACTGAACTTTGGTTTCTAGCTTACTAAATATGGTTCTTTTGACGGAACCCTCCTCTCTTGTCGTTAGTAGGATGTAGAGGAAGTGTAAAGAGTCGTTGTATTCTCCTTCGTAGGTGAAATGGACAGCTGGGTGAGCATTCATTATTGAAGTTGTTTAAAATGAAATCACTATTTAACCCTTCATCGTACACTAAACTAGTGAATAGAGATGAAGTGTGCCTCTAGTGGAAACCATCGATTATATCTGCGAACAGAAAGTAAATTGTACACTGATATTTCTATTAGCAATCTTAAACAACTACTTGTTAAATGTACAACAAATGTTAAGTTTCTCTTTAATAATGAAATGTACAGACAGGTTAATAGAGTAGCCATGGGATCCCCACTGGGATCGCAAAACTAGAAAATAGTCAGCTGAAAGAGTAAACAGCAAAAATTGAAATGTATTGTCGCAACATGGACAACACTTTTGTATTGTACGATGAAGGGTTAAATAGTGATTTCATTTTAAACAACTTCAATAATGAATGCTCACCCAGCTGTCCATTTCACCTACGAAGGAGAATACAACGACTCTTTACACTTCCTCTACATCCTACTAACGACAAGAGAGGAGGGTTCCGTCAAAAGAACCATATTTAGTAAGCTAGAAACCAAAGTTCAGTATACTCACTTCCTTAGCTTCGTACCGATGAAATACAAACGTAATCTGATCAGATGCTTAGCATTTAGGGCGAGGTCCATTTGTCCCGAAGACTGTGTAGAGAAAGAACTCCAGGTCATCCGAGACATTCTAAGCGAGAAGGGATATCCAGAGAAGTTCATTAAAGCCAACATAGCTTACAATAGTCGTAAACATGAACTGGCAACGGTGGAGAAAAAGCCTCTATTTTTACGTCTCCAATTCAAGGGAGATACTCCTGCGCAGATTCTATCGCAACGTTTAACCAGGGCGATTCAGAAAACGTTCCACTCTGCACGTCTGTGTCTATCCTTCAGTAGCCGTCCAATCTTCACCCAACAATTCAAAGATATCTTACCTAACCTTAGCTCTTCTTCATGCATATACCATTTCAACTGTTCCTGTGGTTCGAGTTATATAGGGTGAACGATTAGGCAGGTTCGCCTACGGGTTCGAGAACATTTACCAGCTTGGTTCAGCAGGGAGAAATTAAGTGCATAAAAAGCTCGATCCTGTCACACTTGGTCGATACTGGACATCGCATTGATATCAACACAGCTTTCAGGGTAATATACCGAATTGCGAAGTCGTTATCATGTACAGTTCGCTTACGTCTCCTACAAACAGCTGGGGTTGTTGCGATAAGATCGACTAAACCGGAACTTTGTATCCAAAAAGAACACGTCCAGACGCTGTTCCTACTGTGGCCAAACTTTGATTGATGATTCTTTTTCTCATCAAGAGTGCTTCTTTCCCGTGACCCTCATGTCTTTGTTTCTCCTTTGCTTATTATTACAATTATTAGCATTATTATTCGTCATAATTCATGCCCTTCATGCAAACATTCTCTCAATACTATCGAATTTTCTATTTATACTATCCGGACGTATTATTAGTGATATTATCTCTTTTCTCAATATATGCCTCCATCTGTTTCATTTCACACATTCGTTATTTCATTATGAACCTCTCATTGCAATCTTACTATCTCCTGTTCAATACAGACCATTTTGCACTAGCCGCTCACCTGACACCTTTTATAACTTTGAACTGACTTGTCAATTTTCTTACCCCACACTCTACAAACCTATTATGACTAATCACCACCATTGTCTCCCATTTTACAATATTTTGTAATCGATTTCAGCCTAGCACGTTTGTCACAAAAATACAACTATTTATTTTGACACCCCATAACTAATCTGTTATTCTACGTTAAAAATGTATCCACCGCATAACTGGCCATTATTGCAACGACAATAAATATTATATTTTATAATTGCAAGAACCTGAAGAGAAATTATTGAAAAGAATATTCTGATGAAGCTAATGAATTACGTCAGAATGTTGGATGTATCCTGTCGAATCAAAAGCAGGGCACCCCAACTTTGTCGAAGAACGAACGTCATGCATTACAAACACTAAGATCAGATAAATCTATTGTTATAACTAAAGCTGACAAAGGCAATATCACTGTAATTCTTAATAAAGACGACTATGACAAGAAAGCTTTGGAACATGTCGAAGCAGGTTCATACGCATTAGTACCAATAAACAAAATGTCTAGTACTATGAACAAAGTAAAAGCACAGGCATGCAATCTACTTAGAGAATTAAAACCCAAACTAGGGAATTCAGTTTGGTTTTCAATAGCTCCCAAAACAAACACGGCCGCGAGATTTTATGGAAGGCCGAAAATACATAAAATAAATGTCCCTTTAAGACCAATAATTGATTTAACCAATTCAGTGACTTATACTTTATCGAAGCACATATCACGAATGCTGAAACCACTTCAATACAATATTCCTTCGAACATTAAAAATATTGAGGAGTTTAAAAGGAAAGCAATGGACATAATTATTGAAGAAGACGAAATTATGGAAAGTTTTGATGTGGTTTCTCTATTTACTGGTGTTCCTATATGTGATTCGCTTGAAATATGAAAACAATCAGGAAGTATTAACTAAATCTTTATTATCAATATATGAAGTTATAAAATGTCTAAAACTTTGTTTGGAATCCACATATTTTACCTTTAAACACAAACTATACTGCCAAACAAATGGAGTTGCAATGGGTTCACCAGCATCTCCAATTGTAGCAAAACTGTATATGAAAGCCCTAGAAAAGAAAGCATTGACAAGTTTTAGTTGTCATCCTAAAATATGGTACAGATATGTAGATGACACATGTATCATCATAAAGAAAGCTGAAAAAGAAAACTTTCTAACAGAAATTAACCCAATCTCAGAATATATAGAGTTTACTAATGAAGTAGAATCGGCGGAGGGAACTCTAAACTTTCTTTTTTTTTTTGTAAAAAAACAAACTGACGAGAAACTAAAGTTTACCATATAGAGAAAGCCGACACATTCCAAAAAGTATTTGAATTTCCAATCAGATCATCCAATAGGAATGAAAGTTTCAGTAGCTTTAAATCTCGTTAAGAGAACTAGAAACATTATAACAGATAATTTTTTTTTTTTTTTTTTTTTCAATATAAAATAGATTTTGATTGGAAATAGTTATCCGAAAAAGCTACTAGATAATATTATCAATAAAAAAGCATAAGGAAAAACATAAAATTGAAAAATCTTGGCTATCGACGATAGCCATTCCATATCAAAAGGACACAGCTGAACATTTGCTTCATATAATATTAAAGTCTATGTCAAACCTTCTAATTCTCTGGAGAAAGCGTTGGTGCATGTCAAGGATATGGTTCCCAAAATGTCACAAAGTAATTGTATCTACAGGATAAAGTGTTCAGAGTGTGATGCATGCTATATAGGGGAGAGCAGTAGACTGGTGAAGGTCAGAGTGAATGAACATAGACTATGCACGAAACGTTCACTTAGAAATGAAGTAGAATTAAAAAGTGTGGAAAAAAGATTAGCTATAGGAATGCATGCGACAGACAGCGGACATAAGATTGATTTCGACAATGTGGACATTTTTGGAAGAGGATTTCATTCACGTAAAGAAAGATTGACCTCTGAAGCCTTGCACATTTTAACCGCATCGAATACAGTGAATAGGAAAGAAGAGATAGACTTATCACTTGTCCTATATGGCAGACTCTTATGAAGCAAGACAAATGAAAAAACAACAAACACTCTATGAGCCTCCATGACGTTTTAAAAATGTAGTATCATGTTTATCACATGTGAATTCACGTATTTTCCATATGACAAATAACATGCACACACACACACACTCATACAAAACTAACCTTTACGAATCGACTATAGAAAAATACACACAACAAAAATTTGTCACTAGTCATTACAAATATTTGTGATGACTGCTTACATATTTCCACTGGTAAAATTGCCCATGGACAAATGACCTTCAAATAAACTGACTTCAATTTATGTAAATTTCGACTATATATTTTGATGATTAATAAAAATCCGAATAAATCTACTGAGGAAGCTGTAGCTTACACAGCGAAACTTTCAGAAAAGTCTTGTTTTGATTTCTCGACACTCTGGGATTAATTTAAATAATTTATAAAGAATATTCTTCGTTCAGATTGACTTTTAATTCTGTTCCTATGTTTCATTGACAAACGTTCATTTTCGACTTTTATGATTTCATGACCTTCCTTCTTATGATTTTATTACCTTAGGTTAAAGTAGTGCTTTTCCAATTAGTTACCGTATTTACAAAATCCTGCTCACTCCACTTCATTATATTCATTATTATTTGACAATCATTCTTATTGCCGTTATATATATATATATATATATATATATATATATATCATCAAATTAAGTTATTTTGTAACAGGAGAAGAGGAGGGCCAGGGAACATATCGTTTTATCACGGAAATCAACACGTATTTATATAAATTTCACATACATTATTATAGGCTAGTGAGGTGGACAAACGCAGTCTTCTGATTGGTTGTTTTCGAGTTCCTCGGAAAGTGGAGCCATCTATGTGCGAATGATATTTGCCCACGTTGAAGTTTGCTGTGATTGGTTGTTGAAACAGCCTTGTTCATATTTTCTCACGGCCCATACTAATGACCTAGACGTTGACGTAAATTGGTGTCTTCCAATTAGCTAGCAGGCTGCTCTCACCACAATTTCATTTTATTTTATCTCATGTTCTCATTGACCATGCATATTAATAAACTAACTGACTATAGTTCCATCCCATCTTATACTTGTTCCACAATGCACTTTCTGCTTTGATTCTAATTTGCTTTCACGGGCTATTGTATGCCTGAAATAATGGATTTATCATTGTTGAGCCCAAAGAGGAATTTATTGAGAAAAATTGTGAGTCCTTACTATGTTTTTTTTTGAATAAATTATGGGATTATTCAATCTTATTATAAATTGAATGGACAATTATTCCTCAGATTACTTGTGTACCGTCTATTATTTATCCAGCGGTCGTCTGAATTTTTCTGTTTATTTTTGATTCATGAGATATTCCGATTGTAAGATGTAGAAACTGAAAAGAAGTTTTTTAGTGGAGAGACTGATCAGCGAATATATTATCAAACTTTTGAATTGTATATATGTTGTTATTAAAAAATTATATCCGGTGAGGAAATTGAACCATTGGTATGAATGCATCAAATAATAATAGTAGTATGAAATGCAATTAGTGTTTGTGATTATAATCATAGTTATATGTCAAGTGGCAAAACAATTGATGTCAAATATAGAATGATTCATAGCATTGATAGAACTTGTAAGGGGTGCATAATTATAGGATTAGTAGGTGAATCGAACAAAATAAAAAGTTGCGTAATATTGTGTGAAATTTGATAACATAGAATTTAATGTTGCAAAACAGAATTGATTTAGAATGACAAGTGGAACGAGTGAAATGATACCGGGGACAGTTGAAAGTTAGAATGGTTACAGTAACAATTGATGTAATAAAGGAAGAGTAAATCGCGAAATTTCAGTCGCGAACGTAATTTTTAGTAGATATTTGGAGACTAAAACATACACAACTTCTCAGGGATTTCGCGAGGGCAGCTGCGTATCATTCGGACTATACACTGAACGAAAAGGGTATATTCGTTAGGTTTCTTTTACTAGCCAACTTACGTGTTAACATGGTCAGATTCCAAAAATGATGCCCGAGCACAGCAAATTATTCGGTCAGTACCAGTCTCAAGTATGAATATTCAACTCAAGTAAATTCATTACTGCGAACTCAGAGAGGTGATAAATGTCTCAACGTCACTAATATGCATACAAGAATCTTTTTTGATAATCCAGTTATATATATCCCTAAAAATTATGTGATGCGTCAAGTAATTAAAAATAACAATCAAATTAAGTGGCATGGATTTTTTTATCAACCAAATATCTTTCGATTCCTCGCATCAGAATTTATAAAATTTACTAATACGTGTAAATTGATGTGCACTCGAAAGAACTAAGTTTCAGCTAACGCTCATAATCAATAAGATATTAAGATTCTGGGAAAATTACTGATAAATACACAGATAATAAGAAACACATGAATGCAAACAGACAGCTATTGTAATCACCTTATAATGCAAAAAGTAGCAGAAATATCAAAGAACAAATCATCTTACCGAAGGAATTCTGAGATGTTCGTATTCGGAATTGTCATTAAGAGAAACCGTAATAACCACACACACACACACACACGATCCTCATACTACTTACCTCCATGGTGAAACTGCAAGGCGTCAGTCGCTGATAGATATTTGAGCTGCCTTATTGAGTTCTAATTATGTGAATGCTGCCAGTCAGGCTAAAAATGAACCTGTATAGTAGAATGAGATAGAATTGTTAATAGAAAATGGATTCATTTTAATCCGACTTTGATCAGGAGGATAAATTGCCAGAAAATAAAAAATAAAATACAGAAACTAAGTGATTATTTAACTTTAATAGTAACAGACTACCAACCGGATAACGTCTTTGCAAATAACGGTAAAACGGGACAAAAAAGGGTGTATTCATTTCAAAAAGTTGGATAAAGCGAGAAAATGATGTTTGCAAGGTGGGATAAGTGGGAAATGAGGGGAAACGCCTAGTTGGAAACATGGAATATGCGGTCGAAGGAGAAGAGGGTTAAATAAAACAAGTGCCTAAGTTTTCATGTGGATTTAAGTACCTCAACCCAATCCAACAACCCAACAAATGACTTTCGGAGAACACATTCTCCCATTATCAATACGTAGGCCGTACACGAAATACGCTTTTTCATTAGGATCTAGGATTGCAGTATTGTATGAAAACTGGACTAACATGAAGTACAAATAACTTCGTATATGTAGAGACAATGGCAATATACTTCTGTGTATGCAAAAGATGGATACGTCTTCAGGTGTGTTGCTGTCCTAGGAAAATTATGCGAGATGTTTGTTTTTTGGGCTTCGTAAAAACATTCTTTAGTAAAGTGAAATTATTCCTAACGAAAATGTCATGTTTATGCCACCAGTGCGTCGATGGCACAGCGGTTAAGACGCTTGCTGACCATGCACATGGTCCGGGGTTCGATCCCCGGCCACAGATGCACTCCTTTACCTCGCTAAGCCAGAAATAATCCTGGGAAAGAGGAAAGGTTGGGCATGAGGCTAGCAACCCTTTCTTGTATAATTAAACACTACTACAGAAACTTCAAGCCACTAGCTTGAGGAACGTGAAGGAAATAAAAAAAAATTTGATTTTGAAACGACGAGTAACAGTTACTACGACTGGAACTTAAAAATTTTACCAAAGAAATTTGCAACTAGATACCGCAGGAAGGCAGCATATCACTTCGTGTGGTCTACTTCCTATTTCTATTCTCTCCTTCAGTTAGAATTTACAAGTCTCAGCTGCAGTAACTGCTACTGGTTGTTTTGTAAATTCAGTAGAGATATAAATACAGTATTTCCTAAAATCTGAATAATAAACATACTATGTTATCTATGGAATCCTACAGGTGCACAGCTCTTACACTACGTATTTAGTTCATAACGTTTTATGACTGGCAGATTTCAAATTGCTGATCACTCCCTTAACCCCCTGGTCATCAAGTGTAATTTTTCAGCACTAACCGCACTCTTTTAACACACTAGGTTTTTAAAGCACAAAACATCGGATTATAGATGCATAGTTCAGAATTATTGCTGTTAGACGGTTGGAGGCAATTGACAGGAAGCCTTGGACCTCGGTTTCGTGCTAGTTGGCACTCACCAGTCAGCAAGGCGTATCTGAAACCCTGAAGGAAATCATGTTCCTTCTGAGATTTGAACCCATGTCACCCAGTGGTGCAGTCAGAGACGTTACCACTGAGCTATTTGAGCTCACGATTGACCTCATATAGGACTGTATCGAACAGTTCAATGGTAACGTCTCTGACTGCACCACTGCGACATGGGTTCGAATCTCAGAAGGAACATAAGTTCCTTCAAGGTTGCAGACACGCCTTGCTGACTGGTGAGTGCCTTAAAACACGAGGCTTCCTATCAATTGCCCCTAACCATCTAATATCAACAATTTAAAGTGCATCATGAGTCACCTAGCATGGTGGCCACATTGCAAACCTGACTGACAGAATTAAGTCCGCACCAAAGAAAGGACTAGACACATCACACTGGTTACTAGTATCTAAACAAAGTAAGTTCAGAATTAGTTTAGCATAATTGTGAACTTGTGTGTAGATACTTCGGAAAAGAGCGTAGGCATTTACCCCGTGATGTAACTCCAGCTTTAGTTGGGTTAATCACATAGGAAGTCTTTTAAATTAACTTTACCTGCGTTATTTGGTTGAAGAATTGCATTTTGGCTTTTTTTGTGAATTCTAAGGTTGTGGAAACCATGGGATCTATTTGTAAAAACTCAACGAAGATGAATACTATTTTGAAGTCTTCTGAATCCACTTATAGTGTCATTATTTGGAATATGAAGGAAACGAGAGACAACGATTCAGATGTTCCCTATAAACATGTTATCGGGGCAGCTGCCTCTACTTTTCGTGGTCTACTTCTCGAAGCAACATCCCGAGTTCATGTAAGAAAGGTCATTAGAATCGGCAAACGAAATACAACTGCAATGGAAAGTCCTCAACGACTACTGAAACTAGTATTAGGGAATGAGATGCTAAAGAATATTATTTTCAACAAAGCATTTAAGATCAAGGAAAGTTGAGAAGAAGGACTCATTGGCCGTTGGAGGATAATGTTAAGAGGGAAGCCGTAGATACTGTGTTTTCGAGAGACGAGGTCTCGGAAATCTAAGTTGTCAAGACTTTTGTTCATACGCTAAGTGAACACAAGCACACCAGTGTGCTGTACAAACAGGTGGTCTTAGGAACAAGCTTACTGAATCAATATTATCTGAAAGGATCCATACTGAATGAAACATGGTTGTTAGTGGGTATGAACATCACTCGTACAAGGGTTTATTTGATACAGAGCAGACAGAGTAGTTCATCAGAGAGGTGATGGGGCTGCTCTATACATCGAGGATGATATAGGAACTACATCAATGGTTTCGAAAACACGTAAGAACGGCGTCAGTGAAGCTGCAAGTTATTTTAATGGCCTGATTAACGGTACTGCAACGATCGAGGTTATTTATAGACGTTCTGCCTGCCAAGTTAATGACTTCGTACTAGATTAGATGAGACCGTGGAGTAGGTGGCTTTAGTGTTCCATCTATTACGTAGAAGGAACTAGCGCTAACCAGCATGTTTCAACAGACAAAGTACACTGACAGTTGTAGAATGTGCGGTCTTACAGCATGTACGCACAAACACAGAATGCTCCCAAACACGACCCGTCTACTTCGGGATTCAGTGCTAACACACTGATATGTATATATATATATGGTCTCTCTTTCTGTTGCTCTCTTAGTCTGTGACCATTTCACTTTGATGAACCTGTCTCCTTTAACAATGTATATTCCCCTTATATTATATATATGTGTGTTTGCTGACGTCTGCTATATTTTGCTATGTATATATGGATCGATACTCCATTATAATTAGCCAATCATGTTAAGACTGTCTATTGATTTGTTCACACACTTGTTCGGACATTCATATATATTTTTGCTCTCACACTCTTGTGTGAATTGATTCTCCTGGTGTTTTAGAAAATAAAGTATCATCGCAAACCTAGTGGTCTTCTGATTTCCGTCTTTCTTGCGTCAGGACTATTAAATTCTCGACCAGTACATAATAATAATTTGGCGACGGGGAAAACTAGTACATAATACACGCCAAAAGGAGAATGTAACGACATTAGTTGTCTCCCAGCGCTAAGGAAAAGTAACCATGTAGTCATAACTTCACTTTTAAGATTCATGGTCTCATCCATAAGACAAAATATTCTCATTCGAACATTCGGAAAGTTGATAAATCCGCAATCCGGAATGAAGTAACGAAGACATCTCGAGGTGCACATGTGATTCAGATGTAGATGACAAGGATAGAAGGCTCTTGTGGCCTGTGTTAATCCTTGCAAAATATATCTCTGCAGAGATCTAACTTATCTTTGAAAGCGTTCACCGATGAAGCTGATACTACTGAATCAGGTAAGGAGTTCCAGTCGTTGACCACTTTGTGAGAGAATGTAAATTCTGCACGTATTTTAGTCGTCCTCAGTTTGAGCACCTTTTTGCGGTGACCCCGTAAATGTATCCTAGAAGGGGAGAATAGTTTAGAAAGATCAGTTCCTAAATCACCCTTAAGTATACGGTATGCTAAAATTAAGTGGCCTTTCTTCCTTTGGTATGATAACGGGAACATATTTAAATGCTCCATCCTCTTATCATACGGATGGTGTGAGATACCACTAACTAATTTTTTTTCCTACTCTCTGTACTCTTTCCAGGATATGTGCCTTCTTTTTGAAACATGGACTCACCGCTTGTATGCAGTATTCTAAATGAGGCCTGACATATGTTGTGTAGAGTATTTGAAACATGCCCTCGTCTAATCGTTTGAAAGCCCTTCAAAGTGTCCATAGCATTCGAAAAGCCTTAGCTTCGGCTGCATTGCAATTCGCACTTGTTTTCAAATTATTGCTGATAATGATTCTTAGGTCCTTCTGTCCGTTAACATCAGGTATTTCTGTGTCCCCTAGGGAGTACGACGTATAAGACTTCTGACCTAAGTGCACTACTACGCTTTTCCTAGAATTCGTTTCCAAACTCCTCAGGTTCGACCACTCAGCTAATTTACCTAGATCAGTTTGTAGGGCCAACCTATCCTCGTTATTATTTACAGTTTTCCAGATCTTAGTGTTGCCCACAAATAATAATGAAGATGAAGTAAGAATCCCCGGCAGTTCATTGACGTATAATAGGAATAGCAAGAGGCCTAATACAGTTCCCTGAGGCACTCCACTGGGTACTGCTTTCCACCCTGATAGTACACCGTTAACTCTAACCTTCTGCCTTCCATCCATTAGGTAATCCCTAAACAACTCACATACGCATTTATCTAGTCCGAAAACTATAAGTTTACTTAGGAGACCTAAGTGGTATACTTTACCGAATGCCTTGCTAAGATCGATAAAAACCACGTCCAACAGGTTTTTATCTCTGGCCTCAACCCTGTCTTCCCTAGCCAATAGTAGGTTTGTCAGGCAGGATCGTCCTGGTCAAAATCCATGCTGTTCCACAGCCAGCAAGCCATGTTTTTCAACATAAGCTAATAGCTGATCCCTTATAATAGTTTCCAATACCTTTGCTATAATCCATGTCAGACTTACCGGCCGGTAGTTAGATACCAATTGCCTGTACCCCTCTTTGAAGATGGGGCTTATA